TATCCGTGGAGTGATATTTTGGAGTCCCGGACATCCGGTGTCAGCCAGGTCTCAGTGATTACAAAAAGATTGGGATTGTGAGATGCAACCCAGTACTCTAGCTCATCCCTTTTTCCCAGCATCCCTCGGGTATTGGTTGAGGCTAGCCGTAAACGTGAAATGTTTGGAGTTACCCCTAAGAAGATCCGTCAGGGGTCGCATAAGGTCGGCGCACTTGGGAATGAAACACCAATAGAAGTTAACTAGCCCCTAAAACCGTCTAAGCTGTTTTATGGACGTAGGCTCCTTATATTCCGAAACGGCTAGCACCTTATCCTGAAGAGGTGCGACGCCAGATTCGGAGATGCGATGACCTAAGAAGGTGACGCTGTATTCGCTGAAAGAGCAATTGGCAGCATTTATCGTAACGCCGTGTTGACGAAGACGCGTAAAAGAGCGCGTATGTGCGTCTCGTGCTCTTCCGGCATGGTGCTAGCTACAAGGACGTCGTCGAGGTAAGGGAACGTGTTGTCTAAACGTTGGAAAACCTGATCGATGAAACGTTAAAAGGTTTGAGCTGCTTTGCGAAGACCAAATGGCATACACAAAAACTCAAACAGACCAAATGGTGTGGTCATTGCGGTCTTCGGGACGTCCTCTGAGTGGGCCAGGATCTGGTGATACGCGCGAACTAAGTCAGTTTTGTTAAATATCTTACATTCCCCTAGACTAGCGGTACGATCCTGGATATGGTTAATGGGGTAGCGATCGGGTGTGGTGACGTCGTTTAGTGCGCGGTAGTCGCCACATGGCCGCCAGTCGCCAGGGGACATTTTGGGGACCATATGCAATGGTGAGGCCCAATGGCTGGAGGACGGTCAGATACTTCCGAGGTCCAGCATGTGCTAAAATTCAGCACGGGCTACTTAGAGTTTGTCCGGGGCTTGGCGTCTGGGGCGACAGTGAGCAGGAGAACCGCGGCTAACAATGGGGTGAGCAATATCCGTCGTCGACTGAGGGAATATCCGGCGGTTTACGCAACTCCGGAAACTCGGAGAGGACCACGCGGAACCTATCGGAGGCGTCAGGAAAGTACAGGAGCAGGCTAACGGACGGCACAGTCGAAGGTGTCCCGTGGGTCTCACATGTGGTGAGACGGTTGATGAGCTTCTGTCCGACCGGATCAACCTTGAGGTTGATGTGTCGGAGGAAGTCGATGCCGATGATGGATTGTGGAGGGTCGGCAATGATGAATACCCAGGGTAAGCTACGGCGAATACCGCGATTCAGTTTGAGTGAACGCTCGCCGTAGGTTTTATTGGGTGTGCAGTTTGCAGCGACCAGTGTCACTGAAGATAGACGATGGAGGTCAGCTGCATGAGGTCGTATGACGCTGACCTATGCGCCTGTGTCGACCAGGAAACGTATTCCGGTATG